AAGAAAGAAAGAAAGAAAGAAAGAAAGAAAGAAAGAAAGAAAGAAAGAAAGAAAGAAAGAAAATTATGGATTTGGAGTGTGAGTATTCACATATAAAATCTAAACCCACTATGAGGGATCCCATTCCTCCTCCTCCTATTCTTGGAAGGACTCCTGCATGTCCTGGAGTCCCTGGCTGGCTCCCCTCCTGGGCCCGCTTATTATGATCCTATGGTAAGGTCTGTAGGACCCTGTCTTGTCAAATGTCTTTCTGATTTTCTCCAGAAACAGGTCCAAATTTTCACATCCCAGAGGGTGACGGAGTTCTTCACGGCCACGGGATACCAACCCCTCAATGGAAATGAGATGCCCTTGGAACTCCTGCCCCTCCACGGAGAAGAGGCTTAACCTGCATATATGGCTTGACAGGAGACCAACACCCCCGCCCCCCAAAAAAATGACGCCCCAGGTCAGCAGGAAGTAGCCAGACAGACAACCACCAACCCCTTTCCTGGCCTCCCCCGCAGCCCCATTCATTTTATGTATCCAAAGATGGGATTGCCTCTCCCCTTTGGCCTGATCATTTTATGTATCCAAAGATGGGATATGAAGGATTGACCCTCATCCTATTGTACCAGGCCCGTACAGACGCCAAGCAAAATCCCAGGGCTGTGTGAACTTGCAGTTTCAGCCATACAGACTCTAGGCAAAATCCCAGGGATGTGTGAACTCCTTTGAAGTGAAGGCTGGACAATCTAGCCAAGCCCAGCTGTAAACATCCCATCCAACTAAAAGGCCCCCACCTTCCTTGACCTACTGGCTGTTTCATGAACCTCTGCCTCCTTGCTTGGACCTCCTATAAAAACCCAGCTCCTGTCCCAGCTCCCAGGCACAACCTCCAAACCGGTGGGAAGTTCTTTTTTTTTTTTTTTGGGTCCAGTCGTGGGGCCTGAACTCTGGGCCTGGGTGCTGTCCCTCAGCTCTTCAGCTCAAGGCTAGCGCTCTACCACTTGAGCCACAGCGCCACTTCTGGCTTTTTTTTTCTTTTTGCTTATGGGGTACTGAGGAATCGAACCCAGGGCCTCATGCATGCAAGGCAAGCGCTCTACCGCTGAGCCACCTTTCCAGTCCCCCGGTGGGAAGTTCTGTGCCCCTCACTGTTTCTCAATAAACAGTCCTTCCACCTGTTGATGTTCGAGTCTGGCCTATTCCTTTTCCGTTCTCCTCCATTTTCCTAACACTGTCTTTACAAAAGCAAATATTTAAAGATTCATTGAAATGTTTTCTTAATCTCAATCCAGGTTTTTCTAAGATGAGAAAGAATCTTTTCTTAATTGCTTGACATATTTATAAAGTACATCTACATATACATTCACACACACACACACACACACACACACACACACACGGGTGCCACAATCAATACCATAAGGAACATGAAATACTAGGCTTCATGCCACAAGCATTTTCATATATTTTTTATTATCTTTCAGAGCTAAAGTTATCATATTTTACAGATATAGTTTGTCCATAACAGGCCAGAAACATGATTCATGCTCAATTTCTGCAAACTCTGGAAAATTTTCCCATAAGAAAATGAAGAGGAGGACTCATGGAAACTCAATAGGTGTGAACACTACATTTCCAAGATAAACAGATGTCGAACTCACCTCCCCTCCGTGAGAAATGAACCAAGTGCCTTGTGTTCAGGAATCCAGTGTCTCTGCTCAGGATGCTGGCTTGGGTAGGAAGAGCTTGTCCTCAAGTCATTTGTGAGGTTCGCCTGGTGGTGGTTGTGGTTTCTAGTGGTGGGTCTGGCAGGCCACAGTCCTCCAGGGCCTGCAGAAGCTGGAGCAGATGTCCGATGGAGCTCCACCTCCAGTGTAGCTGAGGCCAGTCCGCCATCTTTGCTCTCCAGATGCATGTCCTGATCCTGAGTTCCTCTCTAGGATCAACCAGAAAGAAACCACTCATTGTTAATGAAAAGTAAACTGTGGGCTGGGCACCAGTGGTTCACACTTGTAATCCTAGAAGGCTGAGATATAGGATTGTGATTCAAAGGCAGTATAGGCAGGAAAGTCCATGAGACGCTTATCTCCAATAAGCTATCAAAAATCCAGAAGGGGAGCTGTGGCTCAAGTGATAGAACACCAGCCTTGAGCAGAAAAGCTAAGGGATAGTGCCCAGGCCTTGAGAACAAGCCCTAATATAGATACCAACCAACCAATCAACACACAAAAACATAAAGAAAATAAAAAAGTAAAGAAGGTGGCTCAGTGGTAGAGCGCTTGCCTTGTATGCATGGGGCCCTGCGTTCGATTCCTCAATGCCACATAAACAGAAAAAGCCAGAAGTGGTGCTGTGGTTTGAGTGGTAGAGCACTCGACTTGAGCTGAAGAGCTGAGGGACAGCACCCAGGCCCAGAGTTCAAGCCCCATACTGACCAAAAAAAAAGTAAAGAAAACTAAGGAAATAAAAATAACTATGAGCTTTTCCCATTGTCTTTGTCCTGGGCATGTTTATATCTTTTTTTTGTTTGTTTGTGTGCTGGTACTAGCACTTGGCTAGCACCTGGCCTTTTAGGCTTTTTTTGCTCAAGGCTAGAGCTCTATCACTTGAGCCTCAGTGCCACTACTGCCTTTTTTAGTAGTTAATTGGAGCTAAGAGTGTCATAGTCTTTCCTGCCTGGGCTGGTTCAAACTGTCATCTTCAAATCTCAGTCCTAAGAGTAGCTAGGATTACAGGTGTGAGCCACCAACACCTAGCCATTTTGAACATTTTTGTATCGAGTAAACAAGTTATAGTGAAAAAAATACCAATTAAAAGATGTGTAAATTTTACTGTGCTTTTAAGATGAGTATGCCCTACATTTCTGATTACATAGCAAAGTTTACTATTTCATTATTTGTTTTTTTTTTCATTTCCCTACCAGCCACAGGCCTAGCATTGACCTTTGGCTTTGCTATAGCTTGCAAGAACCACAAGGATCACTGTGCACTTGGGTTGAGTGTGTCTGAGAGTGTTGAGCATGGGTGTGCTCTATCTGGAATTAGTACTACACATGTCCACACTCCTGACAGCTTCATTCACATGCAACACTCACAAAGCCCATGAAACTTGATTCCTGCAGATCCAACATGGATGGATGTTTGGCAAGAGGTGTACCCTGTGTCAAGGGTCATTGGTGCAATAGTTTGGATCTCCAACGTCCCCAAATGGTCCCATGGTCCCCAGACTGTGGTACCATTGGGAAGTGGTAGCTTTAGGAAGTGAGGCCCAGTGGGAGGTCTTTAGGTCATTGGTGGGAGGGGTGCCCTTAAAGGGCAGAGCGGAGTCCTAAAGCTGTATTTTCTCTGTCTTTCCTTTCCTGGCAATGTGGAAAGTGGTTTTGCTTCATGATGCAATCTTGCCATGATGTACCACCACAGACTCAAAGTCAACAGAATATGGATCTCTAAAATTGATGCTAAAATAAGCCTTTTGCTAGTTGCAAGAAGTGCATGCCTGTCATCCTAGCTACTCAGGAGGTCGAGATCTGAGGATTGTTGTTCAAAACCAGATTAGGCAGGAGAGTCCAATCATCCAGTGAACAGTCACAAGTGGAGCTATGCATCAAGGGATGAAGCACTAGGCTTTGAGTGAAAAGAAAAACGGGCAAAAGTCCAAGGCCCTTAGGTCAAAGCCCTAGTACAGGCACAATAAGTGAATGAATGAATGAGTGAATGAAAGAAAATAAGCGTTTTCTCTTTCTATGTTAGTTTGTCTATTTGCTAACATGATGTTAAGCTACAACAGGCAGGACCCTGATAGCTAGGAGGCCAATCTGCTGAATGGAGCCAGAACTTATCTCAAAAACAAGAAGATGATGGTGTAAACAAAAGCTCGTGACCAAGAAAGCATATACATCCCCCTTATTACTGATATTTCCCAGATTTGGTTGCTTACCCTGAAAACAATGGGTTATAATTAGCAAGCCAAAAGCAGACAGTGTTTGTAAAAGGTACTTGTATCAAAAAGTGAAAAAAAAAGACCAAGTTAGAAATACGCAAATGCTTCCATTATCTGAAAAGAACGAAATAATGTCTAGACCTGGTTCCAATGTGAGCTAAATGCTACTATCTGCATTTAAACTGCGTTAAATTGCATTAAATTGGATAATGAAAAAAACCTGTGAAGTTTATGCTGATAATTTACCATGGTAATTGTTCTTTGCTTACAATTATAATATGAAATGGCAACACCTGCAGGGCTGTGCTTGTGTCTTACTGCACATCCGGGGAACCTGTTGGGGTGCAGGACCTGTAGGCAGGGGAGCGGCTTGTTCTCGTGGGCGTGGCCTGCCCTAGGGGGTGGAGCCTGTCTTCAGGGACTTGGCCTGATGGTGGAGCCTTGGCCAGTCTGAGGGGGCGTGGCCAGATCCCAGGGCGTGGCCTGTGGCTGGGGGTGGAGCTTGTTCTCAAGGGCGGGGCCTGTTGATCGAGGGCTTGCGTTAGGGGAGTGGCCAGATCGTGGGGCGTGGCCTGCCTTGCGGTGGTATGCGGGGGCGTGGCCTGGTAATAGCATGGTCTGTCCAAGGGGCGTGGTCTGTCGCTGTTGCCAGGAGGCCGGCAGATTGCACCAGGCCGGTTGGTCTCTGCCTCCCGCAGCTCCCTCTGGGCAGAGATGGACGTGTCCGGCTGGACTTGGTGCTTTGCGCCCGGGGACACCCGGCCTCCCACTGCCTCACTCAGGCCAGGATCAGGTTGTGGGTCTGACTGTGCATTCCTTCTGATGGTTTTTGCAGCATGCATAGACTTGATTAAAGGCTTTTAGATCATTCAACCAAACGTAATCTTGATTAAAGAGCCTGCTCCGAGCCTGGGAACTGCGCAGCCGGCGGGCGTTGACCCTGCCCTGCTGCCCCGGGAGGTCGCAGTGCTGAGCAGACTTTGCTGGGGAGCCCGCGGCCTCCCGGGGGGTGTGGGGTGTGGACCTGGGCCTCCTCCCTCAGACTGGCTAGGACCCTAGCCCACACGCTGGAGGAGGGTCCACTCCCTCCCAGGCTTCCAGCCGCCCAGCTCCAGGCCTGCCTTCGCGCATGCACCGTGTCCTAGCTCCAGGTGTGCTCGGGAGCTCCCCTCCCCTGTCAATCAATCCGGATTGAGATCCACGAATGACAGTTAAGGAATCCCAAATTTTTCTCTCCACCCACATTTTTGTCCTAGATGCTCCAATGTCCCCAGAGTCCTGATGCTCAAGACTAATCCCAACACCCATCCAAGCTGCATCTATAACCAACTGAATCACCCCGGACTGCTCCTCACCTGCAGGGTGCTTTACCCCCTCCCCTAACCACCACTCAGCAGAAGGGACTTGGTGGGGGCTTCCTGGAGGTGATCCAGCTCACAGGGTTCTTTCCAGAATGCATACATGACTAGATTAAGCTTCCAGCTTTAAACCTTTTCCTGCCACCTGCCACACCAGCATAGAAGCAAAAGCCCACGCGTCCTGGGTGGAATGGCTGTTCATCTTCAGTAGCAGTGAGCACCTTCCACTTCCCAATTATCCCCCTGTCCTAATAACCCCAGGGAGTGGGAAGGTCATAGCTTCCTCAAAAAGCAAGCCCAGCATTGGACTGTGTGTGTGTGTGTGTGTGTGTGTGTGTGTGTGTGTGTGTGTGTGTGTGTGTGCATGCTATCCCTGGAGCTTGAACTGTCCCTGGGCTTTTTCATGCAAGGTCAGTGCTCTACTACTTGAGCCACAGGCCCCACCTCCAGTTTTCTGGTGGTTAATTGGAGAGAAGAGTCTCATGGACTTTCCTGCCCAGGCTAACTCTGAACTGTGATCCTCAGATCTCAGCCTCTTGAGTAGCTACGATTGCAGGTGTGAGCCACCAGCACCCAGCTAGGAATTTGCTTCTGACCAGGGTAAGAAAACCTTAGGATCTTGTGCTCCAAATTTAACCCCACCCCCAATTTATACCCAATATGAACACCAATCATAAACTCAGTTTAGAAATTCAAGCAGTTGTCGCACAGTTGTTTCAAAAGACTATGCAGATCTCCCCATCTGATTTTAGATTGATTCTTCTTTAGTGAGCGTTAATATGACTACGCACCCCTAGATACTGCTGGTAGGTCCTGCTCCCAGCCCAGGTCAGGCACCCCAGCAAATAAACCTCAGAGAATAAATAAGTGATTCTTGATGTTTTAGGTAATCAGCAAACATTCACAATCACTAACAGCCTCAACGCCCCACAGTACTGTCACCTTGATTACTGTGTGTGAAGCACCTCCTGGGAAAGTGGAAAAGCCAGAGGGAGGTTGGCAAGGTCGTGGGACTCCGAGTCCCTGGGGAGCAAGGGTGCTTGTCCAATTGATTAATTTCTACAATTAATTAATATCTACAGCCAGGCACGGATGGCTTACTCCTGTAATCCTAGCCACTTAGGAGGCTGAGATCTGAGGATTGCAGTTCAAAGCCAAGCAGGAAAGTCCCATGAGACTGTATCTCCAATGAACCACCAGAAAACCAGAAGTGGAGCTGTGGCTCAAACTGGTAGAGCACTAGCCTTGAGCAAGAGTGCAAAGACAGCACCCAGGCTCTGAGTTCAAGCCCCACTATCAGAAACAACAACAACACTATCTCCAATTAACTACCAAGAAGCCAGAAGTGGAGCTGTGGCTCAAATGGTAGATGCCGAGGGCCTGAGCCCCTGGCCCTACCCTAAGCCTATATAAACACAACATATTCACACACTCAGCCCCTTGTGCTTTAACATGCATGTCCTTGAGGAGAGAAGGCTACATGAAAGCCCATTTATTTTGCTGTATGTAACCAGAAGGGAAAAGGAAACGAAAAGAATAAACAGCTTTGAGGGAATTAATGTTTTCTATTCTAGTATATTCCAAAGAAATGCCTGACTACCAGGCCCATGTCATGCTG